ATTATTTTATTTCAAAATAATTTCATATTAATTACAGTTATTTTGAAAGATTTTTGGTATGCAAAATCTTTCACAATATATTATATATTTATTCTGCTAATGTACCTTGTACAAGTTATACAAATAAATATATAATTAAAAATATAATAAAGGCAATAACTATTAATAAACATTAATTTTAGCAAAGGCAAAAAAAACTATTTATATATTAGACAAGCTGATTATCTTAACTTGTGTATTATAATTCTTAAATTTTTGTTAGTTAATTTTTGATCTATATAACTTTACAATAATTCTGATAACAATCTTTTTAACAAAAAATTAATTTAAAAACTAAATATTTAACCTCTTGTAATATAAACAAAATTTATTGTAAAAAAATTTTTTTTATAATAAGCTTTTAAAATTATAATATTACATCATCAAGTAATCCAATATAAACTCAACTTTGTTTAATATCAAACCATCTATTCTAATGTATTTATTACTAAATAAATTAATTTTTTTATTAATTATTTAATTTAATTCAAAGTATACTTTTAGGTTTAAAATATCAATTGACTTTTCTATTACAGAATGTTGGTTCAGATATTTACCAAACAATACCTAATCGAAGTTGTGATATTCTTCACTGTCTTTTTTTCATTACTTATATGAACTTTGATAGTTAATCTTTTTAGAACTGTTTTAATGATTGTTTTATTGTTTTATAAGTTGTCTTAACTTTCAAGTTCTTATGAATTTTCTTTAATTTATTCACAAAAGGTTCTGTGTACTTTACGGCTCGTGTGCAGCTTTTGTTTTAACCATTGTTAAATAAGAACTTTATTATATGTTTTTTTTTTATACTTTTTTTCTTATGTTTTATTTTATTATTTCAAAGTTGGTTAAATTATAGGTTTTAAGCTTTGATCAGGAGAAAATGACCTTCCTGCAACAGCGAGCTCATAATACCCGAGCAATGAAAAACCAGTAACCACAAACTCTGCTGTTTAACAGTGAGGTATGTTTTTCGCTTTATATATGAAGGGTTGTATTTATATGTATTTTCGGCCAATCATAATTACGACCATCACATGGTTTGTGTGGAATCTACGTGACCCATCGAAATGTTTAAACTTAATCACGTTTCTGGAATGTGTCAGACAGAAACCAATGATCAGGCACCTGTTTAATAAAAAAATTAACAGGTCCACCATTATTTTGAAAACAGTAATAAGAAAGGAATTTAAAAAAATGTCCTCGGTTAGTGAAGCTATTAGTGTCGAAAAACCTAAAGTGAGCCCTCAAGTTTCAAAAGATAAACAAAGTAAAAAAGCTTCTAAAGAGGGGGTGGCTAGTGAATACCCCTTAGAGGTGATTATCACTTTTGAATTACATTATAATTTAAATATTTACCTTACTAATTTTTGGTTTATGATGAAAGTTATCTCCTCCACCCGAATATTTGCAACATCGTATCAAATTATTTGAAGATTGGAAAGCAGCATATGATGAAGAAATAAAAAGTAAGGCAGAATTTTACTTCAAAAGATCTGTTTTATAACGCGGATCAATTGTAATGCGTCTTAGAACACTTAGGTGACACATTCATTGCCCTCACTCAAATGCTCGTATAGAGAAGCCACGCGTTCCGATTACTGTCACTTTCCCGGACGGAAATACGAAAGAAGCTATTACTTGGGAAACTACTCCTATGGACCTTGCTAAACAAATATCTAAATCATTATCTGAACGCATCGTAATCGCCAAGGTTTGCTATTTTTAGTTTGAATAAATTCTTTAAGAATTCAAAATTAAACTCTAATATTTGTCTTTTAATAGGTTAATGGGGAATTATTTGATTTGGTTCGACCACTTGAATCCAATTGTACTTTGGAATTATTAGATTTTGAGCATGATGATGGTAATTAATTTGATTTATCTCATAAAATGATTTGTATGATTTGTCGCGTTAAACTAATATTATCTTAGGAAAAAAGGTATTTTGGCATTCAAGCGCACATGTTCTTGGTGAGGCTTGCGAACGTCATTATGGATGTCATCTTTGCATCGGTCCTCCTCTAGATGATGGTTTTTATTATGAAATGGCGATTAAAGATCGGTAAATATAATTTATTATTTATTTGTCATTTTATTTTATTATTAATATTAAACTAATTGAATTAATTATGATCTTAAGTGTCGTACATCAAAGCGATTATGAAGTTCTTAAAACAATCGCGAAGAATGCCATTAAGGAGAAGCAGCCTTTCGAACGATTGGTTATTTCCAAAGAAAATTTATTGGAAATGTTTAAGGTATTTTTATTTATAATAATAATAATAATAATAATAATTATAATTGATATTTGTTAATAAAATTACTAATAAATATTATTCACATTATTATTATTAGCATAACCAATATAAGGTTTATCTAATTAATACAAAAGTTCCCGATGGAACGTCTACTACTGTGTATCGTTGTGGTCCTTTGATAGACTTGTGTATGGGTCCTCATGTCCCACACACAGGTAAAATTAAAGCCTTTGAAATAACAAAGGTCAGTTTTCTAAAATATCTAACCATATATATATATATATATGTATTTAGAATAATGGAATTGTATAAATGATAATCAATATTAATATATCAATTTTTTTAGAACTCGGCATCTTATTTCCTTGGTGATTCAAAAAATGATTCACTTCAACGTATATATGGTATATCTTTTCCGGACACAAAACAAATGACTGAATACAAAAAATTTGTTGAGGAGGCTGCGAGACGCCATCATAAAAAGATCGGACAGGTATTATATTACATATTACCTGTGTCGATGTTTCCTGTCATTTGTATAGTACATTTATATAATATTTGATACCTATTTTATAATAGGATCAAGAATTATTCTTCTTTGATGAACTCAGCCCTGGAAGCTGCTTCTTTCTTCCAAATGGTACTAGAATTTACAATACACTCACTGACTTTATCAAGGTTTGTATTATTGAAAGTTATTACTAATTATTCTATACATATTAATGGTTCATAAAGTTTAATGACTTGAAATACCCTTATTTAGTCTGAATATCGGAAAAGGGGATATCAGGAAGTAATTACACCAAATATGTACAATACAAAATTGTGGGAAATATCGGGTCATTTACAAAATTACGAGGTTCGTATCTCGAATTGGTAGTTTCATTTTACGTACAAGGTTATAAATCGAAATTCTTTTGTATCAGGAAAATATGTTTTGCTTTGAAATTGAAAAAGAAAAATTTGCGTTGAAACCAATGAACTGTCCAGGCCATTGTCTAATGTTTAAACATAGAGATAGATCATATCGTGAATTGCCTATTCGTCTGGCTGATTTTGGTGTTTTACATCGCAATGAATTAAGTGGTGCTTTGGCTGGGTTGACACGTGTAAGGCGATTTCAACAAGATGATGCACATATCTTTTGTAGACATGATCAGGTTAGTTAATCTGACATTTCATACTTTATACTTTTATTCTTTCATTTGATTAATCAATTTTATTTTCATTATCAGGTAGAAGAAGAAATCAATGCTTCACTGGAATTCTTAAAGTATGTTTATGGCATTTTCGGGTTCACTTTCCAACTTAAATTGTCTACTAGACCTGAAAAGTATTTGGGTACTATCGAAGTTTGGGATCAAGCTGAAAAGGTGGGTATTAAATTATTAATCGTGTTTCATATTTATACATATTTATACATATTTAGGATATTGATTAATTTATCTTATTTGTAGAGACTGGAAGAAGCACTTAATAAATTTGGCGAACCATGGGAACTTAATCCTGGTGATGGTGCCTTTTATGGTCCAAAAGTAATAATTTAGTTAATTGAATGATAATCAATTATTTTATGTCCATTCTTCATAATTTAAAATTTTTTAAATTTACAATCATATTCAAGATCGATATTACAGTATCGGATGCTATCAAAAGAAAGCATCAATGCGCGACATTACAACTTGATTTTCAACTTCCTGAACGGTTTCAACTTGAATATCATACCAACGTGGTTGGTGATTCTGAAGGTTCTTATACTCGTCCAGTTATGATTCATCGTGCTATATTGGGTTCAGTAGAACGTATGATTGCCATTTTGGCTGAACATTTTGCCGGGAAATGGTACTAATGTTTTATAACTTAACTGACTATTAATGATTATTAGGTATTCATTTTATCATACTAATGACTAACACTCCTTTCCTTTTTAAAGGCCCTTTTGGTTATCTCCCCGTCAAGTGATGATCATTCCAGTAGCAAATAGTTTCAGCGATTATGTTAAAATGGTTTCTAATGCTTGTTTTGACGCTGGTTTATATGTTGAATACGATTTGGGTGAAAATACTTTGAATAAAAAGATTCGAAATGCAGAAGTTGCACAATTTAATTTTATTTTCGGTTAGTAACATCAGAATTAATGTCAATAATATATATTTATACATAATCTAATTACGTTTTTTTCATAAATTCATTAATAGTTGTTGGTGCTGAAGAAGAAGCTACCAAGTCAGTTAATATTCGTAATAGAGACGATATAGGTACCAAAGCAAAAGGACAAACTATTCCTTTGGAAGAAGTTGTTGAAAAACTTGTGAAACTGAAAAATGAAAGACGACTTCAAAATAGCTTGTTATAAAAAGAATTTATTTTTTTTTTGGTTTGGGCTAGGATTTTAATGTTATAATACATATATATTATTATTATTCATAAATTTCTTTTGTGTCCGCCTATTTGTTTTACGTTAATACAAATTGTCAAGCACGTGATTTTAATTTTTCTTGCTTGTTTTTGTCGTACTGAACTGAACTGTTATTTTTTTATTGATTGGTCAAATCGGTTAATCTGAAATAAACATGTGATTTTAATTTTGTGTTACATTCAGATTGCGATAAATATAAACGCGTCATAGTCGTGACCGTGATACAAGGATTAAAAGTAATTTTTATTCTTTAGTGTTTATAATTGTTAATATGAATATGAATATGCACATATATGAAAACCGGTTAAATTCTTTTTATATTCCTTCTAAAAAAGTGAAATGGCCTTACAAAGACACCGAGGAATATAAAGCAACACCTGAAACGGTTCGTTGTTAAACGGTTAATTAAATAATTCTTATAAAGTTTATTAACTTTATTTTTTTTTTTGATTTTATTTAGCTGGCAAAAGCAGGATTTTATTTTAATCCTGTTCCAAACTCAAAAGATAATGTTGTATGTTTTCTGTGTCATAAATCGATGGAAGGTTGGGATCCTAATGACGATCCGTTCGAAGAACATGCCAAACATTCACCAGATTGTTCTTGGGCAATTTGTTATTGTTCGATGAGAAATTTTAATGAAGAACAGTTACCTTTTAATTGGGATGATAAAGATAAATTACCAACTTCTAAAAAAATGGAAGAGGCTAGAATTAAAACTTTTGGTACTTGGTGGCCTCATGAAGGAAAAAAAGGTTGGGTTGGTACAATTAAAAAGGTAATATAAATATAATATAATTAAATTTAGAAAAAAAAAAAAATTTTTTTTTTAATTGATTAACAACTTTGAAAATAAAAATTGCGATCAAACATATTTATTGATATCTTAGTTTGGGAATTGTAGATGGCTAAAGCTGGATTTATCTATTCACCATCGATTGGTTCTCTCGATAATGTAACTTGTCAATATTGTGGTGTAGGGTTAGAAGGATGGGAACCAAAAGATGACCCTACGTAAGAAAATTATATATATTTTTAAATTTTTTTTTCTTGAATTTTTTTTTTTTATATATGATTTATAAAATATAAATTTTTTTTTTTTTTTAATTTTTATCGATTATAAATTATAAAGTAAAGAACATAATAAACGATTTCCTTTATGTCCATTTTTCGTCAAGTCATCATCGAAATCTAAAAATTCGAAAACGAAAAAATCAAGGACAGCAAAAGTTGGTACAACTAAAAAATCAAGGAAACAAATTAAATCTGAAGTTATAGATGTAAAGATTAAAGAAGAAGAAATGGAATTATCAGAAATGATAAATCAACTTAAATTGAATGAACCTTCTTCTCATTATAATTCTAGAAATAATAATGCGGATCAAGTATGTTCAATGAATTTAACAGATAATCAAAATAATATATCGGATCATATGTGCGATAATCAAATAGAAACCGCAGAAATCGAAACGAATAAAGAATATAATGAGGAAATAGTTGTTCCTTCTACAGGTACTCCATCACCTTCTTTCCGTCCAACGATTACGGATGAAATAAATAGAGTAACAAATAAAATATACAGTAATGGTCAAAATTTATCGTCCGTTGAGGAAATCGTAGAAGTCGAAGTGGATAAAGAATATAATGAAGAGATAGTAGTTCCTTATACTGGCACTCCACCACCTTCTTTCCGTCCAGTTATTACGGATGAAATAAATCATATAACAAATAATATACGCAGTAATGATCAAATAAATATCACCGAACGATTCGAAAAAACAGAGGAGTTAAATAGCTTAACTAATAGTGCATATTATAACAATCAAATGGAAATTATAGAGATTCAGGAGGATATGGAATGTAATAAAGAGACCGATATTCCGTTTACAAGTACACCTAACTCAGTTCTAATAGAGCCGATAATTAACGAACATACATCATCTGAATCTTTGACAGTAAATGAACAATCAGCGAAGACATTAACTGTTGAGGAAGTCGATACAGATAAAAAATGCAATGTGGATAAAGGATACATTATGGATAAAGGACACAATTTGGACAAAGAATACAATGTGGATAAAGAACGCATTGAGGATAAAGACCACATTGAGGATAAAGAAAACAATGAGGATAAAGAATATAATGAGGAGATAGCGTTTCCTTATACTAATACTCCACCACCCTCTTTCCGTCCAACGATTACGGATGAAATAAATAATATAACAGATAATATATACAATAATGATCAAATGTATATCACAGAGCGATTCGAAAAAATGGAGCTAAATAGCTTAACTGATAACGCGTATGATAATAATAGAATGGAAATTATAAATATTCGAGAGGATATGGAATGCAATAAAGAAATATATATTCCGTTTACAAGTACACCTTACTCGTCAGCTCCAATAGAGCAGATGAATAGCGAAAATATCGAAGATACCACATCTGAATATTTAACAGTAAATGAACAAACACTTAAGATATTAGCTGTTGAGGAAGTCGAAATGAGTAAAGAATACAACAAGGAGATAGCAATTACTTATAGTGGTACTTCACCTCCCTCTTTCCGTCCAACGATTACGGATAAAACAAATAATATAACAGATAACATATACAATGATGATCATATTGGTACTCCACCGCCCTCTTTCCGTCCAACGATTACGGATAAAACAAAAAGTATAACAGATAACTTATACAGTAATGATCAAATTTATATCACAGAACGATTCGAAAAAACATTGTCCGTTGATGATTGTCTTAGAAATTTAACGGAGGAGCTAAATAGCTTAAATAATAACGCGTATGATAATGATCACATGGAAATTACAAATAATAAAGGGACAGTTATTCCGTTTATAAGTACGCCTAATTCGTTAGCTCCAATAGAGTCAATTAATAACGAAAATACTGAGGAAATTACATCGGAATCTTTGACAGCAAATGAACAATTAACGAAAACATTAACTGTTGAGGATTACTTGAAAAATTTAACGGAACAACAAGAAAAGACACTAGCAGAGAAGACTAATCAACTGATGGACGCTATTTTAGAAATTAAAAGAAGAGCAAAGAATGCAATCATGACTATACCTGTTAAATAAAAAATTAATATATAAATAATTCCCATTTTGGTTTATTAAAAAATTTGTTTTTTATTGGCCTATATTGCCTGCAGAAACTAAATTCGTTGTTCAAAATAAAGTATCATTTGTTTATGTTTGGTCTCAAATTAACCGTAATATGCAACTTTAATCTTTGATTGTTTATAAAATCTCGTTGCAAGATTTGGTAGCATAAGTTTTTATAATGAATGTTTTAGCTATTGTGAACTTTGGATATATATATATTATTATTGTTAATTTGGAATCCGCTTATAAATAGGGTTTGAGACATGAGACTCTTGGCATACCATGCCGGCATGCTTATGAAGTTTAAAGACATGCCATTATTTATACTTATCACTATTAGGGGTTGGTATTATTAGCATAGTTGTGTATGTTGCGGAAAATTGATTTTTATATTATAAAATTTATAGGAAAATACAGATTTCAAAAGATTATACTGTAAAATTTTATTAATGCAACAGCATTTCTCTCTTAGGTAAAAAATGTTTCTAAGCTAATTGTCAATTTGGTCAGCACCTGGGCAAATTGTTCTACATATTGTATATAGTGTGTTCTTGATATCTATGTATATATAATAATAATAATACACATAACTCTGGCTATATCGACATTTTTGAGACATTAGTAAAAATTTTCAAAATGTCGATACAGTGAGTTATACCGACATTTTATATTAAAATTTTGAAAAAAAATGTCAGTATAGAAAGATTTTTCTATGATGTCGTTATATCCAGATGTCGGCATAACCAGAGTGACATGTAGTAGTATCAAAAGGAATTTTTTTTGAAGAGTTGATTATTTTTAATGCAAACAGCCTGGTTTGAATATTTAAAGTAAATAGATTATATCTATAATGATATTCATTATACAACAAAGATTTTTTTTTTTTTAAAAAAAAAAATATATTGTTGCGGCTGAAGCTTGAAAGCAGGGACCTCGATTTAAAAAATATAAAACCCTACCAAAATCCACCTATACTCTACTCTTTTATTACATATTATCAAAACTAACCCTAAACACTTATATAACTACGGAACTATTAAAAAAAAAGCGTGCCCCAAAAGTTTCATATTAAAATAATTAAAATTTCAAGCGTCAGCCATTTCAAGCTTCAGCCGCGACAATTATTATAAAACACACCTATGGTGTTTTGCACCTATTATGTTTTTACTGTTTTTTTGAATTTTTTTTTTTTGGTTTTTATAAGTTCTGTATATAAAATTTTGTTTGCTACTTATAGGTAGAATTCGGGTTTTTGGAAGCATAGAATAGCCAGTTTTTGATTTAATGTATAAATAGGTGTGAAACGCGTTTTAGTAATGTTCTAAAAATATGATACATATATACAATATATACGTCATATGTATTGCATATAAAATTTGAGCTTTAAGTTAATAAGTTAGTAATACATACCTGATACGTATAAAATTCATCAATTAAGAGTTTGTTATGCAAATTATCTGTTTTTACATGTACTTAAGAAACTAATATAGGCCTTAAGGCTTTATACGTAGTGTATTATATCTGCTAGGATGTTCGTACGTACATACATAGGTGCATATCAAAAATCAGATATATGATGTACAGAAAAAAACATAAACACATATGCACATATACCGAATATTCTAAAAGTCATTAAACAATTTCTTTTTTTAGTTCAATGATAATGGTTATATGATCGTTGTACGTATCTCTACAGATGTCACTAAAAAAAACCGACAGTTTAGTGACTTTTAGAACACCCGGCATATATGTACGTACGTCAATATCTGGCAATATCTCAGTTCACTCTAAATTTCAATAAATAATAAAAAATTAGACAAACTTATAAACTTGGCTTGATCAATTAATTGTTTTTTTTTAAAAAAATCAATAAATAAAATTCAGAGTTATGCTGTTTCTAAAATTTCAAGACTTCAAATCAAATCAATAAAAATTAATTAAAATTGGCTAATCAACTAAGCTAGCTAAGCCTAGAGTGTTTAAGGGACTGTAATACATAAATCTCATTCTAAAAATATTTTTGTCTATTATCTTCGTAAGGTAAAATGAGACTTTAATCATTTTTTAAATTAATATTTTGAACGAGCGGATTTATACACCGCAGTCTCCTGGACACTCTAACTAAGCTCCTAAATTTATTACCATCAGATACAGCTTTGGCCTGAGTTATGATTAAAGTTGGGGTCAAAGTTAGGTTGTAGTTTAGACTGATCTGTTAATTCACTATTATATATAGCAATAGTAACAAATACGTATATAAAAAAGATTTATAAATGAGAAATAAGATTAAAGAGATCAAACGCTGATATTCAACATCAATATTGACCATTTAGATGATGACTTTTATTTTCTAATTATAATGACTCTTCATTGGAAATGATTTTTAGGAAAATAGAATTAAACAGAATTTATATCTAAAAAGTTTTAAAAAGTTGAAAAGGCCCAAACATTAGAGTTTAATATCATTTAAGCATCGTCTAAAATAATTGGATGATAGGGTCTATTAGATTTGACGAACTTTCGGAACACTATTAACATTAAGCATTGGATAGGGTTATATAACAATGTGTTACAACAGAGTTGCTTCAGTGTAAAGTCATGGATCATTTCCGGTGACCGATAATTAAGGTTCTGCAAGTGTCGTGCACATTATTAGAACATGGTATCTGTTTCTGTGAATGGAACTTTTAGAACATCAGCTGCAATTCAGCATCCAGTGCCGCAGTATATACAGTCATTATTAACAGTTCATTGTTATACGTAGAATCAAACGCACATTCTCTATTCCAAGCTTTGGAACGTTATATGCATGCTGTGGCTGTGAAACTCATCATGTGACCAGAACTTTGGGAGCCGCTTTGACCGACTTAAAGATAAAAGGATGTATATATGTATGTGCCTAAAAAAATTCTTTTCGCCAGAACAGTATTTAGAATACCAAATACCCACAAAATTTTATTCAATTTTTAAAAAGCAATGCTGACTGTACTTTGTTTCAGTTATTTAATAACTGCTTTGTGACAATTGGAGAAAAATCAGCAAATTTATCGTTATGCCAAGTATCACGATGAACATATTTCTTGTTTCGTATTATCTTTGAAATAATATTAAGCAAGACAATAGAAATTTACTATAGATACATAAAATGTAGATGTATGCTATGATTAGCAATAACTACTATATTTCGTGTCACAGTGTTACTCTTTTCAATGTAGATAAAAAAGGAAATTTAATTTATACAACTCTTAATTAATGTATATAATCACAATTGTCATATTACAAGGGAAATTATGTAATATTTTTTAACTTATCGTTATTGAGCTTGTATGTTTGAGCTTATACATATGTACATACGTTGACTAATTTTATCTATAATTAATATAATACTAACAAAAGCCAGATAATTAAGCTTTTACCTGTCTTGCATTTTTATATAATGGAATCAAACTTAAGTATGTATGTACATACGCAAATTCAGTATGTACAAGCTTGTAGTTTTTATAAATTATCTTAATCATGTGTGATAATTTATATTATGCTCGATAGAATAATGGCAACAATATTACGATTCGAACAATTTTAATATTGTCTGTAAATTTTCTTTATTGCCAAAAAAGATATTTTAAACATATTCATATTCAACCATGTCCCCTTCAATACTTTTTGGTTTTTTTTTTAATTCAAACTTTGCTTGAATTCAACACTAGTCTATTTGATTTTACTCTCTCTTTTTTTGTCTCGCTCAAGCATTAGTTATTTAAAAGAAACCCATAGTATATAGCAATACATAGTGTATAGCAATATAAAATGGACCCAAATACACTTACAGGTTACTTATCGTACTTCGTTGGGGGAGGAAGCATGGTAAATTTTATATTATGAATAATGATTTCTGCTTTTCGCTTTTTTTTCATCTAAAAAAAAAATTTTTACTTTAATGATATAGATTACATTACATCACTTAATCGTGTCAATACTTATGTACAAAATCCGACCATCTAATGGATCAAATCTTATTAAAGTTTTTTTTAATTTAAGCAACTTTTGGCGCTTTGTAATAGGATTTGCTGGTTCCATAGTTCCTATAACTATCTCTTTTTCTGAATGTTTGGCACTCCAATATTTACAAATTATTGGCGACGTACTTTTCCGAGAGTCACTGTCTGCTTTCTTACTGTGGAGATTAAGGCAAATACACTATGATCGTCGAGATCAATGGGTTAGCATTATATTATTTACCATTAAATCAGTTCTTACGGTAAGTTCAATTAGAAATTCTACTTGTTTATTTCTTAAGACGCAACCTCATTTTTATTTATATTTATTGTTCATACAGTTACCCATTCTAGCCTTACAGCGTCCTAACATGGTTTATAATCCAAAATTAAGGATGGAAATATGTGATCACTATCATAGCCAATTAGAAAATTCCTTTGGACGGGGTTCTATCATCATTGACTTTATAATTGATGTATACGTCACAGTAAGACTTGTGCAAATTTTAAAAAGAGCAAACAGGAATGCTGCACAGATATCAACAAACATGAGCCATAAAACCAAACGCTCATTGTTTACAGCCGTTATGTATTGGAATTTTCTGCGAATGTTCTTTGCCTTCCTTTTTCATTTAGAATCAATGGTAACTTTATTCTTGGGACCCATTTTGGGAGACATTTACATTGTGGAGGTGGCTGTTCCTCTTAAAACATTTATAAACATATCTTTGTCATATGTTATTACTGTTGACGCTGAAATCGTTAAAGTTATCGAGGGTAGGAATCCATCTAAAGATTCAAGCGGTGGATCGGCTGGTCCCGAGAAATCGTTTAAAAGCTTACAAAGCCCTCGCACGCCGCGCACACCACCTAAATACAAAGCAACCCAATCATCCGTATCTAGAGACATACCTTCACCTTCCTTTAAACTACCCTCTGCGGAGCAGACAAGTCAAATCGATAACAATAAACTCGCTGTTGTATCAATGAAGAGACTGTCCTTCTTCGAGTGGGCAGGTTTCGTGGTAGGGAAACGTTTTAATAAAAATACTTTAGGTGTTTCCTATGAAGATGAAACTGAGACTACTGATGCAGACGTTGAAAAAGGTTTAGATAAACGAAGAGACAGTAATCTAAGTAATGCATCCACATCATCCAACTCTACGGACGATAATCATATTGTTTCATAATTTAAAATTTTATATGCATATTATATAGTTATGAATTTTTTTTAAATTAATTTGATTTAATAATTCTACATTTTATTGTTTTATCCCATCAATTTCGAATATTGAAACCACTTATAATTGTAAATGTTCCTACTTCAAAATGTCATTAAAAATAAGTAAAAATTTTGCTGCGGCAATAAATTTTTATTAGTTAACGATGATCTTATTACGACTTTTACAATAGATCGTAACGACATTGATCGGTAAAATATATAATCGAGAAAAGCGAAATACCTAAACGACCTACGCTGTTATTGCATTGGATCGATTAAATAACTAAATTAGTGTTGTTAATAGCGATAGGGATAGGGCTTCAAATTGATACACGACTGATCCTTCACCCGGTGTGCAACATATAAAAAATTATTTTACAATACCGCTAGTACATGCTATGATTATAATCCAACACCATTTTATTATTGTAAAATAATTTTTTCATATGTTGTACACTGGGTGAGCTGAGCCATCCGAGTCGGGTCACGTGGCCCTTTGATATTCGAATAAGTTATTGCTTCGACATAATAGATTCAATAAAATTACAAATTGTTGAAAGAGTGATATTCGCTCTGATGATAACGGGTAATTACATGATAAAAGCTTGTAAAGGGCATTAACAAAGGACTTCAAGGCATCTTTTATTAAGGTCTCAAGGTCTGTCTTAATATATGATTTCGGATAAATATTTGTATATTTACATTCATACTAGCAGATCTTGAATGAATTCTTTTTCATCTATGTAAATAAATTATAACTAATAATTATCGTCTACTAATATACATCGTAACAACGTATAGATGTACATATGTACGTTAAATAGTGCACTGGCACATTATGATTGCATTAGTATTACGAAGTTTGGTAGCATTAGTCTTTATGTCCTACTCTATGAAAGTTTTGGCCAGCGTTATTCACATGTCAAAGAATATGAGCGGAAGTTTTTTAGTAGATTGTTTTGACTGTATAAAATTAGGTGACATAACAAGAAGCACTAAATGCAACGGTAGACAATGAATTTTGGAATGAATATAATTACATTTGAAACTGATGAACTGATGGATTTACTGTATATGCAGACGCTTGATCTTGTTAAAAGCCTACAAAATTCTTGCAATAAAAGAAATGGCTTAAAAACTATTGTATCAAATTTTTATTAGCCCGAAGATTGGATACTGTCACAGGGTGGGATGGGTTTAACATATATAAAACGATACATAAAAATGGGGTAAAGCAACTCGCCAGAAGCGTGACTATGGGTCTTGTAATAAATTTATTGTAGCGATTCTTACTCAAGCGTATGGGTCATAGCCAACCGCCCACGATGTTATGTCATTCTTAAGCTTTCGTTTAGAATTCCAACATATTGCTACGCGTAATTTTCATTGAGAATGTTTTAGCTTGCGCTGTTTACTATCAATTTGGCCGACAAGTCCATGCATCATAAACAAAGATTCAAAACCGGGGTTTATCTTTATCGGCTCAGCTCAAAAAGCCTAGCTGAGCTGACTTGAGCCGGCTTAAGTGAGCTTAGCTCAAGCCAGCTCAAGTGGTTTTGATGAATGAATGGACTGGAGATTTAGATATTGAGGTTAATAATTTTATAGAGACGCTAAATAGAATAATGAGTGAAAACACTAATGAGATTACACGCTTAGAAAAATTTCAGAGTTGTAGTGATGATATAGAATTGGAACAAATGGTAAGTCTAATATCTACATTTTTAGATGAAATTACCGTGAATATTCTATGATGTTTGTCAATTTGTGCGATTGCGTTTTCTCGTGAAGATCCTTATGTAAAGGGTATTGCATATCTTCTGTGTAGAGTAACCGGATTTACGCACAAATATATGTAATCGAATTTGAATTCCGCCGGCATTTTACCGAGAAAAGTTCATATGACCCAGCGCAGATTTTTGTTTTTCTTTCTTGCTTATGAAATTTGATTAATAATACTATTTTTTTTTCTCAGGTTATATTAGCATTCGAAGATATAAGAATTTTACATAAACTGCAAAGCTCGGTAAATGAAATTAATATGTTTTTTATGAATGTTTTGGTTCATAACAAAATCTGATAAGATATAAATTTTGGCCTTACTAATGTAATACACTGGCCGTCATATGTTTTGCATCTTCCTAATAGATGAACATTAAGATTGAATAATTTTTTTAATAAACAACTAATTACTATAAACTTTAATTATTTTGTTCATTGAAGCAGGAACAATACAAAAATATTGTTATTTATTAATTTTACTAAAAAAAAAAAAAAAAAATTATTCAAATTTTTGTAATGCATTTTTTTTGATTATTTTTGTAAAATTTAAAATTTACAAATACAAAAAAAAACTTCAAATATTTTTTTTAAAAAAAAAATATTATTTGGAATAACCCTTTTTGTTTTAAAAACATTATGTACACATTGTGGCATGTTTTCAATAAGCTTGTTAAGATATTCTATATTTATTTTAACTCAAACCTTTTAAATTGCCTTTCAAAGCTCATCTGGATCAGAAATCCCTAATAATAACTGTTTTATTCATTGATCAATTTTATTTTATAAATATTCAATAGGGTTCAAGTTAGAAAAATAAAATAAATAATCAAGTACCTCTATGTTATTATAATAAAACTACTCTTCAGTCTTAGTAACAGTATGTTTTTAGTTTTTATTCTGTTGTAATATTATATTTTTTTATTGATTCTATATTACTAGAAGGTTTTTAAAAAAATTTTAATTAAAATTTAACAGTATAGATCTTTGTCTATGTTTTAAAAATTTATACAATATTTCTAATTTCAAAAAAAAAACATTCTTATAAATATTACTGCTTTTATATTAATATTTATTAGATCTATATATCTTAAACCTAAATTCATCAGATTAGACAACTTGGTATCAGTTTTTAACACTTTAGTTCTACAAATTTGTAGTATTAAGATGAGTTCTTTTATTCAATAATATTTTTTTCATTTATCCAAACACATTATCTGTTTTTTTGTAATATACATCTTATTGTATAATTACTTATTTTAATTTTATAATTTTTTTAAATCTTTACAGTATTAAAATATTTACTAAATGCAAATAAACAGATTATACTTCATTTATTTTACTCTGTAAACAGTTCTGAATATTCCGATTTTGGTAAATCTTTTATAAAATTTATTTTTTTTTGTTTTTTTGCTTATTTAAACAACTGGTAATTATGAACTTGATCTTTTTTTATAATATAATAGAATAAATAATCTAGTATAAATTTATTTTTATCTCTTATCAAAATTATAAATTATGTTTATAAATAAGAAAACTATAGTAACAAAAAATATAAACAAAATTTAAAACTTTTATTAACAATATAATAATTTAGTAAAGTAAATAAGTTGTCAACTTTCAAGTAGTAGGTTGTAAGTTTAAAACCTATCAATAGTAAAAATTTAAACAATTATTTATATAAAATACAGACAGTATTATAGTAACAGTATTTTATTAATTAGTTAAGATAAAATACCTATAACTATAGTTATACTAATATAGTTAACAAGTTATAAAATATTGTATAATCTTAATTATACAAAAAGATACAAATTAGTACTAGGTAGTAAAAATCTAAAATAAGTTTTTGTAGTTGTTTAAATTTATAGAATTGAAAAAAACTAAAAGCTATTTAAAAAAACCTAAGTAGAAAAGTAATACAGATCCTTGACAATACTACTGTAAAAACTAGATCTAAAAAACAGATAATATGGAAAAATTGAATAAACAAAAATCTTTAGTTAAGAGATATTACTAACTAGACTGCTAAATTGAACCAAAGAAAAAAGATATTGAATCAGACTTGATATATCAGAAACAGGTTACAACTCTTTCAAGCTATCTAGATTAGAACTTTAAAGACAAAGCAAAATATACTAAAGTATTAAAGATATGCTATAAATTAAATACTAGAATACAAGTAAACGTAATAAAAGCAAGCTCTTGTTAATAGTCTGTAGAGTAAGTAGATAGTTAATAAAAAAAACTATCTAAGTCTTATAACTAGATATTGTGCTCTAAAATATATAATAATTTAGAAACTAGTTTAAAAAAGAAAAATATAATGCTGCTCAGATGATATATTGGTAAAGTATATAAAAAAAGTTTAGTAATAGTTAGATAATTAACAAGACAGATAGTTAAAGAATTTAAATAAAAATTTTCTAATAGATAATAGGTATAGTATCTAGCATAAAACTCTAGACTAAACTATTTAAATAGATAACCAAAAGTTGTATGTATGCCTAACTGTACACTTATCTTTGTAAAAATAGTTTTTTTTTTAGTATTAAGATAACCTTTTAGGTTTTGTAAAAATAGTTATAAAACCAACCTTATATATATTAATAAAATAACTATTATAAAGTACAGTTTTTAAAAAAACTTTTGCTATAAATTTTTTTTGTTTTATAAAAAAAATTATAACTGTTTATGTAGCTATTTTTTATATATAAATGATCAAATAATTTGCATTGTTATTTTTAAAATAAAGTAAATAAAAAAAACTAAATTTATTGTAATATCATATAATTCAACAATTATCCATAATACTTATATTTATTATTTTAAATTATGTCTAAGTTATAAAATATTACTATTTGTTTGTTATTAATATAGGTAATACAAAACATATAACAGTCAGTATAATATTATAGAATATACTTAAAACAACTTAGATTAGTTAAGCAAAAGAAAATATCAATATAATTATTTGTAATATACAATTAGTAAATATAAATATTATTTTATTAGATTATAATATTTATAACTATATCAAATTTAAATAATAAAAAAATATTCTAAATTATAATTCAAAATAAAAAAAAAGATAAAAAATAAATTAAAATATAATTACCTAGTATATTCTAAAATTTTAGACTATAAATCTGAATCTATATCTATATTATTACTAATATTTTATAATATATTTTAGATAATTATAAAATAATATATTCAAGCTTTAATACTATATATTTTTTATTTTTATTAATACTTTTATTATAGGAAAATTTTATAAATTTGTGTTAAAAAAAGATTAAAAGATAAGTAATTTTTATGAAAAATTTATTTTTAAAAAAAAAACTATATTCTAATAAAAGAAACAATAATATTATTTTATATAGTTTATTTTAAAGAATAAATAGATTTATTTAAAAAAAATTTTCTAAATATATACTAGTGTATGTATACATTAGTATAATTTTTAAATCCGTATAACACATAAAGAAAACAAAAATTAATTTACTTATAATTTATACTAAAATTTTACAGATTTTTTTTTTTAATTTTTGTTTGTTAAAGCCCCAAAAGCTATTTTATGAGTAAAATTTTAAGTTATATATATAATTGTGTTCCATACACTAGTGTACGAATAGAAATTCTCTTTACAGTGGTACCAAAAATGGGATCTGAATATCTGCCATTTTTAATTGTATTATAAAATTATGAAATTGTAAACAAATAAATTTTATATCCAACCCCCTTAAATTTAAATATGAAACAAACAAACGGATCCCATCTTTAAGAGGTTATTTATAACAAGTGATTTATTGTTAAAACAATAAATTTCTCGTATCGCGCTATTCGTTTTTTATCCCCTTAACCATCACGTACCCTATATATTCAGATATATCCCAATTATCTTTAACCAATGAGCGTTTGACTTCCGTTCGTAATTTTGCCACACCATTAGGTGAATGATTACCTAACCCGGTAACAATCTTTAGAGGTCGGGATGGCGTTTGGCCTAAGAATAAATGTATCCAAATATGTGTTTATATTTGAATAAATGAAAAATTACATCTTAAATTTCAAACCATTTAATTTAAACTTACCATATCTTATCATTTCTCTTGGATACCACTCATCTAACCTTTCTTTTACTACAACCAAGGCCTCGTCGACCCTTAATCCATGAAGGTCTAAAAGATTGGCATCCCCGTTTCTCTTGCTTGAAATAGAATATAACCTTTAAAATATTAGAATTTTTAATTTTAACTATACGTATTATCATACCTTTGTCTCTTAACTATTGATCTTGCGGCTCGTAAATTCCATTTTTTCATTTCAGCATCAAAATTCCGTCCCTATTAAAAATATAAACAGAAGTTTTTTGTTCTTATAATTAATGAGCGTCATTTACTCGAGATTTCTTGTAAATAGGAACATTTACCTCAGTTGAATAATGAAATGCAATACCACCTTCACCGTTGCGTGAGCCTCTAGATTTTTGGAATGCATTGGCCGCTTTTTTAAATGCCTCATTGCGTTTCTTCATACATTCACGTGCTTGTTGACGGCAATAAGCTGGATCATCATCGTCATCTTCTAGATCATCGTCATCTTCCAACGTGGTGGTGTAACTATTAGATAATGATTTTGAAGTATGAAATGTTGTAGCTGATGTCGATTTCGCATAATTACGTGAATTTACGGGAATATTGCTTTTCTTCTGTGTATCCTGATATTGTCTAGTCTCAAAATTAAGAATGGCACTATCTGATAAGAACAGATCGTGAGAGGTCCTACGACCATTACCTCTATTTGATTGTGTTTGATTCAAACTTTTGCCGTTATTCTCATTAATATCTGAAGTCTTTAGTAACAATCCAATAGCATTATGTATTTCACCTTCTGCTGTCATGAGTGCATTCTTCAGATCTTGAAATTCATGGTCAGGGAATATGTTTACTAATTTACTCAAATTTATGTCGAATATTTCTTGCTCTCCATTGAAATTCAGGATACCGTTTCTGTTTTTCCCAACAGTTTTCCAATAATTGTCAGGTGGTGTTTTAGGGATAGGCAATGGAGGCCATGAGTTAATCGACGATGATGAAGATGACATTTGAGGCGATGGTGAAAACGACATTTGAGGCGATAGCGATGATGGAATTTGAGGCGATGATGGGTTACTACCAGGCATAGAATTCGGTCGGAGTGCATTGTTTTGAAATATGATAACGCCTTGTTGTTTTGGTTTTCGATGTCTCTTCTTTTTTCGATGTTTAGATCGTGAGTCAGATACCAAGAAATTATCTTCTCGTTCTGAAATAGGTGGTGTCAGAGGGAATGAATCATAATATACATAATTTTTCTGCTCTGCTAGACATAGTTCATTTAGTATGATATCAGAAACAGTTTCAGCATTATTATCATTTTCATGAAGTAAAACGTCAATCCTATTTTCAGAAAACGTGGAGAAGCAGGCTTTCAAAAACTCCTTCGGTGATTCCGGGGAACTCTGCTCAACCTCATTCTGAATAAAATTAAGTCGTTCAATTTTCTCGTCCAAGGGAATTTCATCGCCGGTTAAACAGATACTTTCGTAATCAAAATCATCCACAATATAGGGACTATCCGTCTGGTATTCAATGCTAGTAATCGATTCGTTTCCTGAAATTGGTGTAGCAAGTCCTTAAAAACTTCTTAAATATATCATTATTAAATGTAGCAGATTAAAACGAAATCAGATTAAAATGAAATTTTGTATATAAAATAGACAAGCCACTGGAAAATACAAATTTTGGGAGTGCATTGTTTTTTAATTTTTTAGGGTTAGGGGTCAGCTTTAGGGGTTGAATTTATAATAAACAAATATAATATGGTTAAATGGAAACCCCAAATTTCATTTTAATCCGATTTCATTATGATCTACGACATTAAATGCAGCGCACTGATTCTCACCATTTTCACCGGAATCTCGTTCGCTTGTGCTGCTCTTATAGTTACTACTGCAATTTTCCGAAAATTCTGATTCACCAAAATTTTCTCGTTCAGCGTCAAGAAATGAATTTGCCTCTTCTGCTAATGAACTGAGAATATTAAAACATTCATTTACGTTATTTTCGTCACTGACAATAGCGGCGACCAAGGCGGAGTCGAGAGGTGGGCAGAACATTGACTAATGATGAAAGATAAAAAATATATATTTTTTTTTATAAAACGAATAAGATATGTGAGTAAATAAAAACTAAATAAAAACACTTTTATTGAACTTTAAACCAATGATAATTTGATAATTCTCAGCTAATGTTGACTTTTTTTTTTTGAATCCTACAAGTATGTAGATCTCAAAAAAGCTTTAAATTATCAAAACTGGTTAGGACGTTGTTTATTTGAGGCTAGAAACAAAAAAGTGGTTCATTGTTCTATCCCAGGTATTAATACAGTTCTAATGTATGATACGCTTTCCAATAAGGCCTAAACTCCTGAATTGCGCTCTCACGAATCTCACCTCGAATTGTTTTTGCAAGGAGTCCATCGTATGAAAGTTAAGTGTCTATAAATTTCCAAAATCTTGATATCAGATATTTAAACCTACGCAATGAAATGATATAGATGCGCTAAGTCGGAATTGAGAGGTAGTATTCATGCTATTTTAATATTGTCAATATTTCCACAAACGGCAAAGATTAAAGTTGTGCAACAAGATACAAGATCTCTAATTAATATATAGAACTCCTTTTTTATAGTCGTTGTGTACAGTCACATGATTATTTAATTTTTGTCTTCCCCAACGAAAATTCTATGGACAGTGGTTAGAAACAATGCAAATTGGTTAGTTAGTTTGAGTAGATGGATTTAATAATATCACGTGAATTTGCATTCCAGAGAGAAGGGGAAAGTCTCCGGACACCTACCAGCAGGGCTTAAACGACCATAGCAGGACCACCGGTCGTTAAAAGTGAAACCAGCTAGCAAAATTAGCTAGTAAAATTAGCAAAATTAGCGAAATAGCGAAAAAAAATTTTATTATAAATTTATATTCTAAATCTAATCTTCCATATCATCGTCATTAAAATCATGTTCATTAAAGTATAAAAAATTTAATCTAGTTATATTTTTTTCCGTGAGAGCCCTTCGTCTATCATCTAAAATATGTTTATAATTTGAAAATGAACGTTCAACATCTACTCCCGAAGCAGGAACCCAAATATAAACTAAAGCAATTTTTGAAAGAATGGGTAATGTATACAATTTATCTTTCCAATGTTTTTCCAGTATTAATCTCAAAATTTTCAACCATATTACAATAAATATTTCATTCGCTAATCAATTGATTTGAAGGGTGTTTAAACTCAAAAATATCAGAATAAATTGATAGATTATGTTGTGAATTATCTTCACAAATATATTGAGGATTAAAACATTGGATACTTTTAAAAAGTAATAGTGTGTTATGTTGCTGAATATGTTTTAAAAATTTTGTATGTGCTAAGTTAAATGTTTGTTCAAAAATTCTTTTAAAGTAATTGATATTCAATCATTTCTGACTTATATAGGTATCATCTCATTTGAGAATGGCAGAGTAGTAATTTCATTTTGAAGTGTTTCTTGCATTTTCTGGATTCATGAAAAAACCATTAGTACAATTGGGATATTTCTAATTTGAAAGAAATCTTTTTTTTTTTTTTTTAAATATTAAGATGAGTATATGTGACTCAGGATTTTACTGATAGTATAAGTTGGCTAGCACCTGTACATGTACAAACACAGAGGTGATTACAGAAAGAGTGTACAACTAGTCACTCGTACAACTTTAGTCATTGTCTAATTTAAGTAGTTCGCTCGAAGGTTCTACACTAGTTGCTATACCTAGAACCCATCTGTAAATCCTCTATTTAAACACTCTGATCCTGCATCCATCACACCCTATTAGTAATTCTGATAAACCAGTGAAGATATATCATGGTTACTAAGTTATGTTTAACTTTGTACTAAACTTAACAGTGCATTCTGTATCTCATACTTACAGCTCACCTAATTATGATTTGGTCTAAACCTTCACTTGCAGTCAGAGTTAATCATTAAACCATTTTTACCTTTGTAAGATTTATCCAAAACTCCAGTATTCATCTTTTCAACATTCTTTTCATTGTCTTCTACTAACCACTACTCAGGATCAACAAGATTTCTTAGACTTTCAATCCAAATAGTCCAATATGGTATATCTTAGTATTCTTTTCCTTCGGCAATTCCAGTGTCCTGGTTGGTCATATGTTTTTTTATACATTTTGCTATCTGGTTTATCTGCCTATTTCTTTAAGAATGTTTCATAAGCTTCTATCAGTCTGATAGCACCATCAAAAGTTTTGTGCTACCTTCTTACTTAGGATTTCCAAGTGAGTTTCTGACTCTTTTTTTTTTTTTTTTTAAATATTAAGGTAAGTACTTGCGACCCAGGATTTTATTGATAGTATATTTGGCTAATAGTTGCATTACAACCACAGGAAGCAACCATAAGAAGAGTGTACAACTAGTCACTCGTACAACTTTAGTCATTGTCTAATTTAAGTAGTCCACCTGAAGGTTCTATACTAGCTGCCATACCTGGAACCCACTTGTAGCTTCCCTATTTAACCACTTTGTTTCTGTATCCACCCATTTACCTTTGTCTACCAATAACCCTGGTCGATGCTGATGAAAATATGCCATGATCACTATGTCTTTAAAGCAGTTTCTTTGAACCTTTGACTTTGTACTAAACCTTCCAGAATCTTCTGTACCCTATTCTTATAGCTAACCTGGTATCACTATGGCCGAGACCAACACTAGTGATCAGGGCATACTATTAAACCGCTTTTGCCCTTGTAGAGTTCACTCCAACCCCAGTACTGATTTCACAACATATCTTTACTAGTATTAAATGAACATTTTTTAAAAATATTATAAAATCTTTTATTTTTAGATAGATATCCTAAATATAAAAATAATTTTTATAAAAGTGAAGGAAAAATTTTTTGTTCTTTCTATAAATGTTAAGTTAATTATCAAAAAAACATAATTTAGATTTATATTTAAAAACTAATAAACATGAAAGGCAAAAAAGAGTTGCTGAGTTAATAAAACTTTATTAAGTTAAAATTTAATTTAACTTCAAACTCAAATAACCAATAAACAAGAAATAAATATTGATATTATTAAAGCTTTTACTAAAGCAAATATTTTTTTAGAAAAAATTAAAAAACTAAAATTATTTTTTCAAAAATATTGTATAAATGATATATTTATATTTTTAAACTAAAATTAATAAATATATATTAAAAATAATAATAATTTGATTTATTAGGTGGTTCAGTTGTAGGTACTAGTTAGCTTTATGAACAATATCTTCCTTTTGTTTTTTTTTGTTTTTGGTATTAAGGTGACCTCTTTGGTCTTTTGACTTTTATTAATCACTTATCAGTATTGTGGTTTGATGAACCACTACAGAAGAGTGTACAATTGGCTACACATGTAACTTTTCTATATTACCTATTTAAGAAGTCTGCCCGA